AAATTACTGTTTTAACCCCTTTTCTTGAAACTAAAATTTTGCATTTTTATTTTTGCGAAAAGAACCGTTTTTATTACTTTAAATAGCCAAAATGAATATTGGTGGGTTTTGCTTACTCTGCTAGATAATAGGATACCTGTCAAATGGGGTTATCCTCTGTCCTTTTTCCCCAAAAGGGTTAGAAATGATTCTAAAGAAAAAGTCTTTAGGTACAAACCCCCGGGGGGTTCTTAGTCCCATGCTATTTAATATTTATTAATGCTCTCCCAAATTTCCCCTAACCCGCCCACCTTTAAAAATATAGTATAAAACTATGCTGATGGTATCATGATCCCCTAAAACAGGGCATAAGAAGATTGAATACCCAAATTTTAATGAAGTTAAGCAATTTGAAAAGGGCTAGGCTCTTAAAATTTTTCCCCTAAAACAAAAGGGTAATTTAAAAAGCAAACGGGCATCCCCCCCCCATCTATTTGCAGGGTGAAATTTCTTAGCTCCCCTTTAAAAAATTACAAAATATCCCTTTGGGGTAATGTACCCTTTAACAAATCCACTATACCACAACTAAACAAGAAATTTCAAAAAAACTAGGCTAAACTCTCAAAACTGTTTTGGCTTTCAACCCCAATATGGGCTAATGTGAGAAAATCGGAATGACTGTACATTGCCTATTTAGGTCCTTAATTGATTTGCTGCTTCCCTGTTTATATTAACAGAGAAAGTTTTTCTCCGACCCCTTTGGGGTTAAGCAAAAAGAAGCCCCTTTTAGGGGTTTTTCTTGGCTGCCCAAAATATACAAAAGTTCTTAACATGGGAAGGGGCTTGGGTTTTTAGTTCAGTGATAGGATTGTTGAGTTAACACTTACTCGGTATTAGAAAGTTTAAGGGAAACCCAACCAGGGCACTGTCCAATGAATCTTACCAAATGTCTAGAGGTAAAAATTTCACACGATCTAAATGGATTGTGGAAAAAGTGCAAATTTTTAAATTTAAATTTTATAACCTGCATGAACTGTAAACACTGTAGGCAACAAGGGGCATTTCACCCCTCGTGTAAAATTTTGTTTTTTTTTAAAATTTACTTTTCCCACAAGGTCCCTCCCAAGAAATCATTGTGGGAATTTCCCCTTTCCCTTTAAAATTTTTGTTAGAAACCCGCTCAAAAAAAAGAAAATTTTTCACCTTGTTTGGGAGTAATAAGTTTTCACAAGTTATATACATGATGGATCTAAAAAAGGAGGGCTTTTGGCAGGGTTGCATCTGTCTTGTTGCCCTCCCTTTGTTTTAAAAACGATTTAAAAAATTTGTTGGTTAGGATTAAAAATTCAACTGGGGGGTCTACCTGCAAAATGAATTGTTTTTCAATCCTAATGGCGCTAAAGTAAACCCCATGGACATGAGGGTTTATCTATAATTTATTAATTATTCTTTCATCACTGAAGGCTCCTGACTCATATAATGACTCCAACAACATGCTCATTGGAGAAGCCAGGTATAGATACTCAAAAATTAGGGGACAAAGGAATTAATGTACAATTGCTATGGATCCCATCACACATTGGATTACTCCTTCATGATAAAGTTGATATGTTAGCCAAGAAGAGTACCCAGAAGGAGAATGTAGAATATAACTTTGGTATAACTGTGTCTAGCATTAGGAATAATATTAGGAGAGAAGTAAATAATGAAAATGATTGTTATAGGAATGCAGTTAGAAGCCTGAGTAGATCTATAACCCACTATGATAACATGAATGTAGATAAGTATGTTTATGGAGCAACTTGCAATGTGAACAGACTGACTGATGTTGTAGTGGCCAGGCTTAGGCTTGGTTACAAGTACTTCTGGCAGTTTGGGAGACACACAGATGATGATCAAACTAAATGTAAATTATGTGATCAGGCATATGGTCACTGTCTTGAACACTTATTGAGGAATACAGAGACAGACAGTATAATAACCTATGTGACATGTCAAGATATCTTATTAAGCAAATTTCCTAAATTTGCTTGTAACAGATAAGCAAACTATAGATATGTAGATATAAATCCATATGTATTCCTGTTAACCCTTTGGGGCCTAGTTCCTAGGCCTTTTGTGTATCCATATGCTCTCGCGCTACCGTCCACAGGATGGATATGGGGTGCACAATAAACTAGCCACTTCGGTGGCAAAATCTAGCTTATTGCCTATCACAATTGATCTAATATGACATAATAAACAATATAAATAACATAAAACATGTTAAATACTCCAGAATGAATAATATTTGGCATAATACCGAGCAGTTCAACGGAGGTATGAAGAGGATACAAGACACAAGTACCATTCTCCTATCCCTGTCTTGGGGCTTATATTAGAGAAAACGGAGTAGCACAGGGCTAACTGTGATATACACTCGTACTGCACCATAAACCTGAAACAAAAAAGCTATTTTCTCTATATACATTACCACACATAGCAGTATATGTGTAGAGAACCTAGGATAACCCAAAAAAGTCAGACGTGGCTTATTTCTAGTACCTGGCTTGGGGTAGCCATATATGATTTTTGGTAAATATTCGATGCTCAGCCAGGGTAGAAACATTGGGCGTGTTTCTTGACACCTGTTGTCTATGTTCACCCATCAGTAAAGGGGTACATGGGTGTTAGTCGACTGGTGTGGGTGTTATCCTGGGACACACCTAATTTGCTTGAAATACTCAGCATAACAAGCGGCTTTCCATATAGTAGTATGTCACTGATGTCAGCTATGTCTGTATCCCATGTACATGTACGTGTAGTAAATGGGAAATGGGAAGCACAATGCCTGCACTTTAAAGGAGGGGTTTGGGATATTGGCAGTTTGGAGGGATATGTTGTGTATCTTTATATGTATATGCTTCTAAACTGTTGTATTCTGAGCACCTCTGCAAAAACAGTGATTGTGTGTGAGTGTGGTGAAAGTGTTGAATGATGATGAAAGCATTTTCTTTTTGGGGATTTTCTTTCTTTTTTGGGTCACCCTGCCTCGGTGGGAGACAGCCAACTTGTTGAAAAAAAAAAAAATTATTATTGTTGTTGTTGTTATTTTCTCATTTGTTTGTTCGGTTATCTTACTGAAACTTGGACAATGTATGATGGAAAGATATTTCTTACTGTACACCAAAAATGAAAGAAATCAGACCATAAATAGCAGAGTTCACTTCTCAGCCATTACCGGCCTCTTAGCGGTATATTTTTGTATGTTTTTTATGGTTATATTCTCGTTTTTTCGGTCTCATTTGATAGAATGGAAGATATATTACAGAAATAGATATGATTTTGATTGCTTACATGACAAAAAGTACCTTGAAATTGCGCTCACAGTAGCCGAAAAGTTCTATTCTTTAGCAATGCTCGAGTACCTGTCCGCCTGCCAGTCCAAATTCCAATATGCAGTCAAGAATGGGTTGACATTATTTATACAATTACAATAATGCAGTAGTCTGCATAACAGTAAATCTTCTATTTTTTTGTGTGAATAAAAATTCCAAATGGTAAGCAAGAGTAATATGAGGGGCCTGGAGCCATGACTAATGAACAGAGAAAATTTTATTTTAGTGCCAGGAATGTCTGCAGTGTCTATTCTGGACCCTATTTTGAAATTGGCATCTGTGAAATTGGCCAAATTGCCAATTTCTGACCAGTTTATTGGGTAGTTGAAATAGGTGAATGGGCGGTTTCTTGTACTCAGTCGACAGACTAGAAGTAAGTAAGTTTATTCAGGTACTATACACAAATATAGTTACATAGATTATCATACATAGCAGCGTATGTATAGAGAACCTAGGATAACCCAAAAAAAGTAAGACAAAGTGACTTATTTCCAGTACCTGGCTTGGGCTTGCCATGATTTTTTGTAAATACTATTGTTTTTTTCTCAGTTGTTTGTTGGGCTATCTCACTGAAACTTGGGAAATGTATGATGGAAAGATGCTTCTTAACGTACACCAAAAATAAAAAAGATGGACGATAAATAAGGGAGTTCACTTCTCAGCCATTAGCCGCCTCTTTGTGGTATATTTTCATATGGTTATTATGGTTGTATTCATGTTTTTTTGGTTTCATCTGATAGACTGGAAGATATATTACAGAAATAGACATGATTTTGATTGCTTTCATGATGAAAAGTACCTTGAAATTGAGCTCAAAGTAGCGGAAATGTTCGATTTTTGCCAAAGTTCAATGAACTTTGTGTAAGTCAAAGTTGGTTAATTTTATTAAGTGTATTCTAACCTAACCACTCTGTAATCTGGCAAACTCAGTAATCTGGCACACTACAGGTCCCAATGATGCCAGATTTGTGATGGAGAACCAGTATCATGAAACTGTAATAAGTCTGCAATGAATAAATCATCTTTGTGTCACTTCTACACCTTGTTTGCTGGTAGGGAAACTTGTGGTGGAACAACAGCTCATTACATCGTTTAACTTTGCTGGTTAGGCATACTAGTATGTCAGAGATAGTCATCACCTGAGTAGTTAACAAAGATGTACTGTGTGGACCCTTCTGGCTTTAGAAGACCCAAGAGTTGTGTTGAGGTCAAAAAATATTGGCAGGTGGCAGATATAAAGGTATGAAAAATTGTGGATACTAGTACACTGGACACACAATTGTCAGTTGAGTACTGGTAGAGTGGATACAGTTTAAGAGTTAAAGTCCATTTGTTTATATATGAGGTTGTAAAAGAAGTAAATGCTAGGGTGTTGAGAGAGGTGTAAGATAATCTCATATGAAGTGAAAGTTGTCACAGATGCTCTTTATCAATGACACAGTTCTCCTGGGATATTCTGAAGAACAATTGCGAAGGTTTGTGAAGAAGTTTGGGGTTATTGCAGGTCAACACTGGCAATCACACATTCTCAAAACTGCATGAAATTAAAATATATTTGAATACATTATAGGATACTTTTTTGTTACTTTTTAAAAAGACAGATAAGCTTATAATACTGTACTGTACATAATTAAAATACCATACCTGGGACAACTCAAAATCTGACATGAATGGATCTTGGCACAGAAGAGCCCTTAGACTGACTGGAGAACACAGAGGTAACCATACCTGAAATAAAAAGAAAATTTTGTCTATTGTACATAACAAGACAAACAAACTACTCTGTAAAAAACAAAAAAAGTTGTAGATATCAGGGAGATTCATATACTGATATAAACATACATTGTACATACACAGTAATGTACATTAAAAAAGTTTCTACAGAAAGCGATATTTTATTTTATAAAACTTTTAGCTAAATGCTGGTACAGGAAGGCACATCATCAATAAGGTGCTTTTCAATTACACGTATTCTTGCTTATTATTTTTCAGTGCTTGCTTTGTTCTTAAGATGGTTTTTGGTGATGGCACTTTTTCATTATTTTTACTTTCGCATTTTTTTTTTTAGGCTTATCCCTATTGTAAAGTTAGTAAATGATAGTGTAAATATGCTTTTAGGCTTTTATATGCACTGGCAAGTGGAAAAAAAAAAAAAAGGGTTGTGATTCGTTTTATGGTAGTGGTCTGGAACCAAACACATGAAGGGATGCTCTAGTGGTACTACCATGATAAATGTTTCTGTTTGAATTCATAGGGCCATCACAGTACACTCCATTATATATTTTTTTTTTAACACACTGGCTGTTTCCTACCGAGGCAGGGTGACCCAAAAAGAAAGAAAAGCCCAAAAAGAAAGAAAAACCCAAAAAGAAAGAAAAACCCAAAGAGAAAGAAAAAACTTTCATCATTCAACGTCCCTCCAAACTGCCAATATCCCAAACCCCTCCTTTAAAGCGCAGGCATTGTACTTCCCATTTCCAGGACTCAAGTCCGGCTAACTGGTTTCCCTGAATCCCTTCACAAAATATTACCCTGTTCACACTCCAACAGCTCATCAGGTCCCAAAAACCATTTGTCTCCATTCACTCTTATTTAACACAGTCACACACGCTTGCTGGAAGTCCAAGCCCCTTGCCCACAAAACCTCCTTTACCCTTTCCTTCCAACCTTTTTGGAGATGACCCCTACCCTGCTCTCCAAGGTCGTTCTACTTTGTCCCATTCTCTCTAAATGACCAAACACTGTAACGAATAAAAATCACCTTACTCTTATACATATCTATATCAATATGCAATGACAACTACATTGTAACAAATAAAAAACTTTTGAGTCAACAAGTCACTATGCTTTAAAAAATATTGCCTTTTTCATGCTCTGAGAAATGTTAAAACTATTTTATCTATATGTTCTTCAGTTCAATTTACATGATTGTTAATTACAAACTGTTTTCAGGAAAGATATTAGCAAATATTAGTGAAGGGATTCTGGGAAACTGGTTATTTTATATAACCGGACTTGAATCCTGGAAATGGGAAGTATGTACAATGCCTGCACTCTAAAGGAGGGGTTTGAGATATTGGCAGTTTGGAGAGATATATTGTGTATTTTTAAATGTATATACTTCTAAACTGTTGTATCCTGGGCACCTCTGCAAAAACAGTGATTATGTGTGAGTGAGGTGAAAGTGTTGAATGATGATGGAAGTATTTTCTTTTTGGGGATTTTTTTTTCTTTGTTTTTGGGTCACCCTGCCTCGGTGGGAGACAGTCGACTTGTTGAAAAAAAAAAAAAAAAATTAGCAGATATTAGCAAATTATATAAAAAGGCATTTGATGCAATTGTATACTGTGAATTTAATAGTCAAATTTCATTCATGATGAAATATCTCAACAAACAAGTTTAAATACAATACTTAATTTCTGATATAAACAGATATTATACCATATTCTTACCCCAAAGAAGAAGAGTACATTAGACGTCCAGGCCCACGTTCTATGCAAAAAATTAAACCAGCGCCAAAAAGGCCAACGTGTAGAAGTTGTTCTGATCAACTGAAAAATTTAAATTGAATAATTATTATTATTTCACCATCAATTCAGTAATTATATGAACGTTTTCATATTGGGAAGCACTAAACCTGTATGGGTGAAACAGCACCTGGGAATGAGAGGATGTCGGGTTTAATTTGAGACAGGACAGGAGAGTTCCCATTATTAGTATCAAGGTACCCACCTTAAGGGGTTAATAATTAGAACACAAATAAATAAATCCTAGGTAGTAGGTTGGTAGACAGCAACCGCCCAGGGAGGTACTACCGTCCTGCCAAGTGAGTGTAAAACGGAAACCTGTAATTGTTTTACATGATGGTAGGATTGCTGGTGTTCATTTTTCTGTCTCATAAACATGCAAGGTTTCAGGTACGTCTTGCTACTTCTACTTACACTTAGGTCACACTACACATACATGTACAAGCATATATGTATATACACACCCCTCTGGGTTTTCTTCCATTTTTCTTACTAGTTCTTGTTCTTGTTTATTTCCTCTTACCTCCATGGGGAAGTGGAACAGAATTCTTCCTCCATAAGCCATGCGTGTTGTAAGAGGCTACTAAAATGCCGGGAGCAAGGAGCTAGTAACCTCTTCCACTGTATATATTACTAAATGTAAAAGGAGAAACTTTCGTTTTTCCTTTTGGGCCACCCCGCCTCGGTGGGATACGGCCGGTGTGTTGAAAGAGATAAATAAATAAATAAATAATGAGATAAGACATAATCTCTCCCTCACACCCTTCCCCAAAAGCCCATCCACACTAACCCAACCCCCACCCACCCACACACCCCACCCACACACACTATTTTTTTTAACAATACAGCCATATTCCACCAAGGCAGGGTGACCTAAAAAGAAAAATGAAAGTTTTCTTTTTAAATTTAGTAATTTATACAGAAGGGGTTACTAGCCCCTTGCTCCCATCATTTTAGTTGCCTCTTGCAACACGCATGGGCCGGGCATGGGAACACAGGATCGAGTCCTTGCCAAGCCTCAATTCTGTTAATGACAAATGTATATACAGCGTCTCCTCACCTAACAACGTACTCATTTACCAATGACTCAGATTTATGATGGGCTCTCTGACCAGTGTGCATACTTAATGTATATTAGAGCTGACTTCCTTTTTTCTGTTTATTACAATATACCAGAGAGACTGGTAAAAACGAAAATCGGCGAAAACTGAAACCATTTTTCTCATAAGAAATAATGGAAATCTAATTAATCTGCTTCAGACACCCAGAAGTATTAAAAAAAAAATTTTTTTTTAGCTTAAATATAGATTTACATGCTGAAAAGAATGACAAATAAATATAAAGCACTAATAAAATGTATAAATGAATATTTAACATCACACTTACCTTATTGAAGACTCTTGTGGTGTATGGCAGATGGGGCGGAGGGGATAGGGAGGCGAGTTTATTGTTGGAGACAGGACAGTATGCTTCAATATGACACTAATATCAACTCCACAGCTTATTTATCTATCATAATTCAACTAATATGACATAATATATATTAATAACATAGAAACATGACATATACTCTAGAATGAATAAAATATGTCATTATGTATGTCTTGAATGGTGTTGTGTTGTTGGGTGTATATGGGCTACTGAGAGCATAAGCCGTACATAGTGGTGGTGGAGGCGGCAGTCTTGTCAGTAGCCCTATATAACTCCAACAACATTGGAGGAGTTAGGTTCGTGCTGTCCTTTTTCTATCAATGAATCGCTTAACTTACTTGTTACACTGTTAATTCTACACTTTATCGCTAGCTGGTGCTATAGCCTTTATTGACTCATGCTGCTTTAGTATCATACATATCGCAGAAACACTGAATCATTGAAGAAGGCACATTCTTTCCTCTCTCTTCCTCCTCCACTTTGGTACTTTGCTACGATTTCTTTCTTCAATTCTATTGTGTTTCTCACTTTCTTTACCAAAGGACTGGCACTAGGAACTTTCTTTGGGCCCATGGTGGCTTATTTAGCAGTCACACACAAACAAGTGCCAAAAGCAATGGTTATGAAATGTTTTGTATGACCTCGCAAGATATGTTTCCTCACTGAGAAACAACGTGACACTGCCTGAGAATGCATGTGGGAGGTGGCTTTGTCTGCGTGCTGGGCACTGGACAGGTTCTTGTACCATTGGCGAAAACAAAACCAATATTTTGACGAAAAAAGTCGGCAAAAAATGGAAATCAGCGATAAAGGAGATCAACAAAAAGGGAGGGTCCACTGAATACCAAAAAATGTTATAAATGGTGCAAAGGTGACATTAAAACAATATCAAAGATAGTCGACACAAACCCACTACCATTATAGTATGCTTGTCTTAAGAATGGAACTCTGTTGTTAAGTGAGGAGAGGCTGTATATATATATTTCTGCATGGAGAAATGGAAAAGAATTCTTCCTCCGTAAGACATACATGTTGTAAGAGGCGACTAAAATGTCAAGAACAAGGGGCTAATAGCGAAGAAAAAAGAAATCAAGGAAGCTGATGTTGCAAAAGGGGTAAATGTGCTAACAAAACACAGACTGCAAACAATATTATTATCATTATTATAATCAAAAAGAAGCGCTAAGCCACAAGGACTATACAGCGCTGCAGGGCAGGAAGGAAGCGAGGGTATCAGGTGGCAAAAGGGAGATGGATGAGTAATAGGTTACGGAGAACAGCGGGGCAGTGGATAGTGAAAGGGTATAGGGCAGCAAGAGATTGAGGTAGAAAGGGCTGAAGGGAGTGCGAAAGGTATCATCATCAGAGTTTGTGGAGTAAATCAGTCGTTGTCAAGAAGTCAATGAAAGAGTCAGGATTAAAGGAGGGTCCATCAGCAAGAAGGGAAGGACTGCAAACAATAGAATCCTCTACTGCAAACAATAGAAGATGTTGAGAAGTTGTTGTTGGTGTGGATCAACGAAAAACTGTTAGCGGGAGATAGTGTTTTGGAGGCAGTAATTTGCAAAAAGGCTAGGCAGTTGCATGCGGATCTCACAAGAATGCCTGGAACGAGTGCTGCTGTTAGTGAATTTAAGGCCAGCAAAGGCTGGTTCAATAAATTCAAGAAGCAAACTCGCACACACACAGTGTGGTAAGGCATGGCAAGGCTGCAAGTTTGGACAAACGTGGGGCCAAAGAATTCGTTGATGAATTCAAGGAGTACGTAGAGGCTGAAGGATTCCTCCCCCAACAAGTCTTCAGTTGTGATGAAACAGGCCTCTTTTGGAAGAAAATGCCAAAGAGGACCTACATCACGCAGGAGGAAAAGGCACAGCCAGGACACAAGCATATAAAGGATGGGCTAACTCTTTTGTTCTGTGGTAACACTAGTGGGGATTTCAAAGTGAAGCCTTTACTGGTGTATCACTGAAAATCCCAGTGTTTTCAAGAAAAACAATGTCACAAAGAGTAAATTGTGTGTGATATGGAAGGCTAACAATAAGGCATGGATCACGAGGCAAATTTTCATTGAGTGGGTCAATGAAGTATTCGACCCGAGTGTGAAGAAATACCTCCTGAAAAATCAATTACCATTCAAGTGCCTCCTGGTAATGGACAATGCTCCTGCTCATCCTCCAGACTTGGAAGACCAATTGTTGGAGTTTAATTTCATCACAGTGAAGTTCTTGCCCCCTAATACCACTCCTCTCATCCAGCCCATGGACCAGCAGGTCATTTCAAACTTCAAAAAACTCTACACGAAAGCACTGTTTCAAAGGTGCTTTGAAATGACCTTGGACACTAAACTGACCTTAAGAGAGTTCTGGAGGAATCACTTCAATATCCTCAATTGCATAAGCCTTAAAAATAAGTCTTGGCAGGGAGTGAATTCCAGGATGATGAACTCTGCTTGGAGAAAATTGTGGCCAGAATGTGTCTTCGACAAGGATTTTGAAGGGTTTGAGGCTGACACTGACAACCCTATGCCTATTGTGGAATCTATTGTATCTTTGGGAAAGTCCATGGGGCTGGATGCGAGTGACCAGGATGTGGAAGAATTAGTGGACAACCACAGGGAAAAGCTAACCACTGAAGAGCTGTAAAACTTTCATCTGGAACAGCAACAGACCACAGCTGAGGAAATTGCTTCAGAGGAGGAGGAAGAGAGAGAGAAGAATGTGCCTTCTTCAGTGATTAAGGACATGTGTGCAAAGTGGAATGAGTTGAAAAGTTTTGTGGACAATATCACCCTAACAAAGCTGTTGCAAGCCATGTCTGCAACATGTTCAATGACAATGCCTTGTCCCATTTTAGGTAAATCTTAAAGAGACACACCAGAAACAGACCTCTCTGGACAGATTTTTTGTGGGACAAGGGTACAGTGACTCTCAAGCTGGTCCTAGTGCCAGTAAAAGACAAATAACAGAAGTAACCCCAGAGAGGGCCTTGCCATACCTGAAGTCCTTATGGAAGGGGATTCCTCTTCCAAACAATAACCTCTCCTCCTCCCTTTTCCCTCCTTACCATCTTCCATACACCAACAAGAGTCTTCAATAATGGTAAAAGTGATGTTAAATGTTCATTTAACCATTTCATTAGTCATTTATATTTATTTCTTTGTTTTCTGTATGTTAAACTATAGTTATTCTCTATAAAATGTATTTTTTGTTAATATTTTTGGGTGTCTGGAATGGATTAATTGGATTTACATTATTTCTTATGGAGAATATTGCTTCAGTTTTTGTACAATTCGATTTTCGTCAGACTAGACCGGATTAATCACGAAAACCGAGGTTCCACTGTATTAACTTTTCGCAGTTGATTTTAAGTGAAAAAGTAAAGATAAAAGTAAAAGGATGACATACACCTGTTTTATTCATTCTACAAAAAAGTACAAGCAGGAGCAAAGAATATATGCGCCAGTTTAGCATCAGTGTTTACCAAAAAAGTACGTAAATGGCTTTGTGGCTGTGATGAAAAGAACGCTTTATTCTGTTTTCCATGCTTACTATTTGGTGGAGACTCTTCATGGACAAAAAGTGGAGTGACTG